GGAGGGCCAGTTAGGGGGCGATCAGGCCAGCAGGCAGAGGCGGTTTGGGTGATCAGGCAGGCACACAGTGGTTAGGAGCCAGTGGCCCTGGATTGTGAGAGGGATGTCCAACTGCCAGTTTAGGCCTGACCCCACAGGGACATCTCCCAAGGGGTCCAGGATTGGAGAGGGTGCAGGCCAGGCTGAGGGACACCCCCCCCATGCACAAATTTTGTGCACTGGGCCTCTAGTCTTATATAAGAAAAGACTAATATGCTAATTGTCTGGTTGTCTAGTGATCGGTCAACCAATCAAAGCGTAATATGCTAATGATATGCTGAAGCTACTCAACTGCTCGCTATGATGTGTACTGACCACCAGGGGGAAGAAAGGTGACTGGTCGACCAGTAGCCATGACGTGCACTGACCACCAGGGGGCAGATGCTCTGACTGGTAGGTTAGCTTGCTGCTGGGGTCCGGCTGATCGAGATTGAGTGAGATGGGCCGGACATGCCCTGGAGCCCTCCCGCAGTCTCTGCCCAGCCCAATCGTGCAGCAGTGGGGTCCCTTGGCCTGGCCTGTGCCCTCTTGCAATCCAGGACCCCTTGGGGGATGTTGGAGAGCCAGTTTTGGCCCCATCCCACAGGCCACTCCCCTCGGGAGGGCGCCAGATGTAGGGCTTATGGTTGGTGAGCACTGCTGTGGCAGCACAAGCCTCTCCCAATCTGGACTGATTGGGTGCGAGCCCACAGCAGGCTGGTTGGGTGCGAGCCCATGGCAGACACAGTGGGGCCAGGATGAGCGGGAGCAGCAGGTAGGAGCTGCAGGCAACGTTCAACTCTGGGTTTTGGCCCTATCCCCTCAGGCCACCCAGAGGGGCCCCACCCATGCATGAATTCACGCACAGGGCCTCTAGTTTTTCAGAAAAGCTCTCAGCAAAGTGGGGATGGAGGGATCATACCTCAACATAATAAAGGCCATATTTGACAAAACTACAGCCAACATCATACTTAATGGGCAAAAACTAAAACCATTGAACAGGAATAAGGCAAGGAAGTCTGCTTTCACCACTCTTATTCAAAAGAATACTGAAGGTCCTAGCCACAGCAAACCAACAAGAAGAAAACATAAAAGGCATCCAAATTGGAAAGGAGGAAATAAAACTCTCATTATTCACAGATGACGTGATATTTTACATAGAAAACCCTAAAGACTACAAAAAACTACTATATTTTAATAAATGAATTTAGCAATGTAAAAGGATACCAAATTAACACCCAGAAATTGATGACATTTTTATATACCAATAATGAATTCTCAAAAAGAGAAACCAAACAATCCCATTTATAATTGCAACAAAAAATTAAGATATCCTATATAATTAAAGCCCAGAGACCAAAATGGTGGAAGGACCAGAACAACCAGAGACCAGAACAACAGGGAGCCCTAGCCCCAGCTGGCCACACCCCCCAACAGGGACCCCCACCCCAATTGGGGGTGTGGCCAGCCTGCAAACCCGCCATGGTCCCTCATCCCAGCCAGCCCCACCCACCAGTGGGGACTCCCACCCCGATCCAGGGCCCCCATCAGGCCAGTCCAGCCAGCCCCCACCCGTGCACTAGGCTTCTATCCTATATAATAAAAGGGTAATATGCAAATTGACCCTAATGGCAGAATGACCAGAACAATTGCTTGACCAGTCACTATGAGGTGCACTGACCACCCCTCGGTCCCTTTCCCCAGCTGGCAGATTCCAATCGCCCGATGGCAAATGGGGACCGGGGGTGGATGGCAGGGGACACAGGTGGTTCCAGGTCAAGGTGCCCGCCCCATCTGTTGCACCACACACAGAGGGAAACCCGTGGCAGGGGCAGGGCTGGTGAGCATGCGGGAATGGTCAACATCTTGGTCCCTTCCCCCAGCCATCAGGCTCCGATCACCTGATGGCAAACGGAGAACCAAAGTGGGTGGCAGAGGGGGGCAAGGCCCTGATCGCAGGTTAGGCCTAGGGACCATACTCATGCACAAATTTCATGCGCCGGGCCTCTAGTTTAGGAATAAACTTAACCAAGATGGTAAAAAGACTTGTACTTAGAACACTACAGGATGTTGGAAAAAGAGATAGAGGAAGCTATAATCAAGTAGAAGAATATACTATGTTCATGGACTGGTAGAATTAACATCATTAAATGTCCATACTATCCAAACCAACCTATAGATTCAATGCAATCCCTATAAAAATACCAATGGCATATTTCACAGATCTAGAACAAATACTCCAACAATTTATATGAACAAGAAGAGACCCTGAATAGCTGCAGCAATCTTGATAAAGAAGAACAAATTTGAAGGAATCACAATACCAGATATCAAGTCATACTACAAAGTCACTGTACTCAAAACAGGCTGGTACAGGCACAAGAACAGGCATCTAGATCAATAGAACAGAACAGAGAACCCAGAAATAGACCCAAGCCATTACACTCTATTAATATTTGACAAAGGAGTCAAGAGCATACAATGGAATCAAAACAGTCTCTTTAATAAATGGTATTGGGGAAACTGGACAGATACCTGCAAAAAAATGAAACTAGACCACCAACTTACACCATACACAAAAGTAAACTCAAAATGAATAGAACACTTGAATGTAAGACGGGAAACCATAAAAATCTTAGAAGAAGCCATAGGAAGCAAAATAGCAGACATTTTTGGTAGCAATATCTTTACTGATTCAGCTTCTAGGGCAATGGAAACTAAGGGGAAAATAAATAAATGGGACTACATCAAAATAAAAAGCTTCTCACAGCAAAAGAAATCATCAACAAAACAACAAGAAAGCCCACTGCATGGGAGAATGTATTTTCCAATGTTATATAGAAAACTGGGGAACATCTACACGGAATACTACTACTCTGCTGTGTAAAAAAGAAGGAATTCTTACCATTTGCAACAGCATGGATGGAACTGGAGAGCATTATGCTAAGTGAAATAAGCCAGTCAGAGAAAGATAAATATCACATGATCTCACTCATTTGTGGAATATAATGAACAACATAAACTGATGAACAAAAATAGAACCAGAGACATACAAGCATTGAACAGACTGTCCAACCAATCAGGGAAGGCGGGGCTGAGGGGATAAGAGATCAACCAAAGAACTTGTATGCATGCATATGAGCATAACCAATGGACACAAAAAATAGGAGGGTGAGGGCATGTGCTGGGGGGCGTGGCCAGGGTAAGGTCAATGAGGAGAAAAGGAGAATCATGTAATACTTAAACAATAAAGAATTTAAATAAAAAGAATTAGAAGAATGTTAACTAATAATGGGAGTAATCATAGACTCAGAATGTCATCAGTTTTAGCACCCTGATAAAATAATGAAAAGCTTATGAAATTTTGTGTAATGCAGTATCAGCTAATAGCTGATTTCAATGATCAATCCTAAAATCATTAAAAGAGAGAAAACTAGACATTATATACTTTATATGGTGAGATAATAAAAAAGGTTAAAATAATGCCTATTAAGTATTGTTAACAAACAAAGCCAATATTGCCTGAATCTGACAATATTTTTATATTAAAATCTGTTTACAAGCAATGTAAGAGATAGAGGGCATGCTTGTTTTTAATACCACAGGGCTGTATTAATAAAATACAGAATGTCAGGAACTCTATGAGAGAGAGAGAAAAAACAAACAAAAAAACATAACTACTTCAACAAATAAACTGCAAGAAAATAGAAAGTGGAACAGAAAACTTTTAAACTAAAAGAGATTTAAGAGACATGTAAAACAAATACAGTGTTTGGATGGATTTGTTTGGATTTGGATTTTAACAAATAACTACTAAAAAAATCGAAAACATTTGGGGAAATTTGCACATCTATTGTACATTTAATTAATTTTCTTTTAGCTGTAATAATGTATTGAAATTTTTCACAGAAATGATTATTTTGCTTAGAGATACATACTGAAAATTTTGTAGATAAATTTATATGATGGATGGAATTTGCTTAAAAATAATCCAAGGAGGGAAAGGGTGAAACTATAGGCTTTCTGAGCCTGATATCAAAGGCAGAACCCTTTGATAGATTTGGCATTCTTGTCTGTGACACCATTAGCAAACTTAGCACTGGTTTATGCCAATTCAGTTCAGGACGTCCATTAATAATAGGAACTTCAATAGTTAAATAGTGTTATTTGATCTTAGCGTCTATGATAAAAACAGAAGGTAAGCTTCTGATATTTTGCCACACTATAATAAATTGAAAATCTATAAAAATCCGATTGTTTTGAGATAAATGTATGTATGCCTTCTTGCTATACTGCCTTTTCCCCTCTTCTGTATTACATAATGCTTTTTCCCTGATATTTCATTGTAGATCTGGAATGTAATACAGAATTATGTAGGCTACGGCCTCAGAATATAGCACAGGGAACAATGTGTTAGAAAATGAAAGTCAATGGGGGAAATACTAAATTTTAGCCCATTTACCAGAGTCAATCCTTTCCAAAGCTGTTATCATTTAGTCTCCCTGATGCAAGTCTATATTTAGTGAAATTAAAAAATAAAAACCAGGAAATAGCTGTCAATGTCTATTCTATCTTAAATCAGACTTAGTTAGCAGCTTGTATGTACCAATCGAGATAATAGCAGCAAGCAGTATTTGGCCTGGGGAAGGGAGGAGAGAAGAACACTAAAGCAGATGAGGGCAGTATATACCAAGGCTGACTTCAATCTGGCCACAGTACCAAATAAACACACGAAAAATAAAAATTTCAGTTTGGTCTCACAATGAAAATCATTCAGATATTTCAAAGTCTTCAAAATTTTCACTTGCAGGAAGATATTAGGTTTACTCAGGTATAAAAATATGACTCTATAGATAAGTCCACGAATCTATGGTTTCTTGAAATTTGTTTAGCTGTCATGTCATGTATCTAAATGACAGTTTTTATGACTAGAAATGTCTGTGCCCATCATTATCTTTTGAAGGCAGTGGAGCTTAGCAGGGTTTTACAAAGAAATAAAAGTCCTCTATTTGAAAATATAGATTTGTAAACCAAGAGAATGAACAGTGAGATGGCATTCAAGACACTTGGAATTTTTCCATAATTTTTGGCACTTACCAGCTAGCAGTATGATCTTGGACAAGTCACTTCACTTCTTGACCCCAGTGAACACATTCTTAAAATAAACCAGTTAAATTAGATGATTTTCATAGTGCTTTCAATTTATAAATTGTTCATTTAACAAATTCTTGTTAATTGGCCACTATAAGGGTACAGCATAGTAGCTAAGAACATGTTTCTGAAATCACACTACCTAGGTATCCCTCCTTTACTGGCTGAGTGTGTCAATGGACAAGCTTTTTTAACTTCTCTGTTCTTCAGTCACCTTATGTATAAAGTGGGGATAGTTTTAGCACCTAACTCATAGAGTTGTTGTTAGAATGAAAGGGAAATAGTGTATTTAAAGTATTTATTATTTTTTATTCTTTATTGTTTAAAGTATTACATATAGTATTACATATAGTATTTCCCCCGTTGACCTCTCCGTGGCCACCCCCACCCCCCAGCACAAGCCCTCACCCCCTAGCCTAGTCCCTAGTGTCTGTGTCCATTGGATATGCTTATATGCATGCACACAAGTCCTTTGGTTGATCTCTTACACTCCCTTCCCCTGCCTTCCCACTGAAATTTGGCAGTCTGTTTGATGCTCCTCTGTTTCTGTATCTATTTTTGTTCACCAGTTTATTTTGTCCTTTATATTCCACAAATGAGTGAGATCATGTGATATTTATCTTTAGCTGACTGGCTTATTTCACTTAGCATAATGCTCTCCCAGTCCATCCATGCTGTTGCAAATGGTAATAATTCCTTCTTTTTTACAGCAACGTAGTATTCCATTGTGTAGATGTACCACAGTTTTTTAATCCACTCATCTGCTGATGGACACTTAGGCTGTTTCCAAGTCTTAGCTATTATAAATTGTGCTGCTATGAACATAGGGGTGCATATGTCCTTTCTGATTGGTGTTTCTGGTTTCTTGGGATATATTTCTAGAAGTGAGATTACTGGGTCAAATGGCAGTTCCAATTTTTAATTTTCTGAGGAAACTCCATACTGTTTTCCACAGTGGCTGCACCAGTCTGCATTCTACCAGCAGTGC